CTTAATTTGCAGTCCTGAGTCTACATCCCTGCTCCCAGAGAGAAAGCTCAAGCTCACCTCTGTGTCTAGCATTTCTTACTCTGAGTACCTAACTTTCTATGTTGTTAAAAATCTCATAACTTAGTCTGTTTTCTGGCGCCAGGCATTTGTTTTTAGTGCCTGAAGGATATAATATAAGTGGTGGGAAAAACTGTGCGTTGAAGTATCAAGTATTAAAGTATTCATTGCTGTTGTGAAATTAAGTGCAAATCCAATTATTTTACCAATATTTAAAGAAAAAAGCCTTTAGATGAAGAAATGACATAATGACAAATTATACCATTTTGCTCCTCTATCACCAGGACAGGTCCACAGTTGTAGGAATAAAGGGCTTAGTCCTTTGGGCAAGGTTTCATCTAAATTGGATAAAAATAGTCCACATCCAGTGAGAAAATGACCCTCGTGCCCTTTTTTTTTTTCATCACTGCGAAGCTGAACTGGCGTTAGCAATGGTGGACATAAGAAATTAGTTTAAAAAAAAAAGTAGGAACAGTCTTAGAAGTAGGAGTGAAATACAGAAACAGTGCAAGTTCATTTTAACCAGGCAAAACACTTTTTTTTTTCATGTGTTCTGCATGATGCATGGAAAAAACTCATTTCATTACGGAGTATCAGCCACTTAGCTATCTAATAACTAAACACTGCAAAAAATTTATAAGAATCTACCATAGACTGCAGAGTCTCCGATAGCCTGGTATTATTTTGAATAAAACTTAAGTGAGATTTTGGAAAATCCAGTTAAGAATCATAGAAATATAGAAAACAAAGTTAAAGGGAACTGCAAGAGATCATTTAGTTCACATATCTGGGGCAAAACAGGATCAGCTGTATATAAAACATAGTTGCAATGTAGTTCTCTAACCCGTCTTTTAAAATCTCCAAAACCAGTTATGACCCACCCTCCCACAAGCAGACATACCAACACTTACCATCAGAAAGGGAGATTCTTTGGGGCGATATGTAACCTTAATTTCTTTACTGATAAACGTTCAGATATTTGGTAATGTAATCTTCTTTGTCTTCTGTTACAATTAGGAGGGTTAGTTGAGCGGTTTTTAAGGCACTTTCAGTTCAATTTATAGATGAGGAGTTGTAGAGGATCTGCCTATATCTACCAAAATAATGTCGGGGTTTATCTAGATGGTATCAAAGTTTTTATTACTAATTTTCAGCACTTTATTGATGTTATATTAGATGGGTCATATAAAAATCAATTTTCATTAAGTCAGAGGTTTTAGGATATTGCAAGTGCTTAAGGTGTGTAATGCTGACACTTAGATGTTTCTATGTATTGTTTTATGTGTCTTCTTAATTATAATGATATGGAATAAATGTAACAAAAAGAATGTCAATTATCACTTTATATAATAAGTGTTGGAATTATTTACATACAAATTAAACTTTAAAAGTAAAAAGGAGTGATGAATCATTTTTACTTTTTAATTTTTTAATGGATTTCTTATTTTTAAATTCTCATTACAGTGCATGGAAATTAGTAATTAATAGAAGAAATCTGGATCAAGTTTTACTGTGAACTTATATTAACATTTCTAATGAAAACTAAAAATACTGTTTGAATCAAAGAAGGAACTGAGGATACAATATACACTCTGCATATATTGCTTAACATTTTATCTCTCCTTTCCTCCAAATGAGAATCTGACCTAGGTACAATATAATAACCTGAAAATTTCCAAATTAGCAATTACAATAGCTAAGCTTCAGACTAAAATACAAGCTTTACCCACTTTCTGAAAAATTTGCCTTAAGCTGCCCTTATCACCTTTTACAGATAATCTTATTCAGAGCAAAGTGTAATTATAGTGAAGTCAGCTGGAACTGGGGGCTACACCTTCTGTTATTCGCTTATCTGTTTTTACCTGGTTGTTTTGGTTTTGTTATTGCTGCTGATCAAAACCAACAGTGAGATGAATTCAAAAAATGACACTGGTAAAGCCAGCATCTTGAAGGAATTAATGTAAGCCTGAACCCATCCTTTAGAGTTGTAATCTAGCTGCCTCTAAGTCTCTGTATCTATAAAAGTAATAACTCATACCAGTTATGGCTGAGTTTCTGTGTCCCTTCGTGGGATTCAGGATTTGAAGAGTATAAGAGAGTAAGATAGCTTATCATAGAATGTCTGACAGCGCATACATCAGAAGGGTTTACTGGATAAAGATGCAATCTCTGTCCATCTGCTCAAGGCAGTTTATAACTTTCTTATTCTTTTGCAGATCACCTACAAAGCAGTCAGTTCCTTTGACCCAGAAATAGATTTATCCAATCAAAGTGGACGAGTCTCAAAGCTAGGAAATGAAACGCACTATCTCTTTTTTGGACTGTATCCTGGCACTACCTACTCTTTTACCATCAGAGCCAGCACAGCTAAAGGCTTTGGACCTCCAATCACAAATCAGTTCACCACTAAAATATCAGGTACTTGATTAAAGAATATCATTGTTTGCATATGATAGTGACATGGGTGATTCTTTTGTTGTTTACTTCTTATTTAGGATTTAACAAACAGCAAATTGAAAAAGTAAAATACATGTTCATCCTTGAAGATGTCAGTGACATACATTAACATATCTGAAAAACTTCCAAGTGCTTAAATATCAGCTCGGACTTTGAAATTCCTATTCACAACTGTAACTTGCCACCCAAGAAACCCTGTGAATTACGTGCCTGCAGTCAGTGCCATCTGCTGTTGCAACATTTAGCATAGGGTTTTTTGGACATGAGGATGAGGGTTCCCTTCAGAGCTTAGTCAGCCTTGACATGATTGTAAATTAGTACAGTAACGGTGCTGGAAAATCTCTCTAATGAGCCATGAACAATTGAGTGTAGCGCAGAAATACTATATGTCTAGCACTTGCTTAGAAAGTGTAGCTAACTGCCAGCCTGCGTATGTTCCTAGCAGGCGTGTGGACTGAAGTGGATATGAAACTGTATTAGACAAGAACATCAGGAATAGTGGTTTTCAGATAACAGCAGCATGACTCTGTCACTTCTGCAGATCCATGAACAATATTTTAAAGCCCTCCCAGAGGCAGAGGAACACTTCATTTCTCTAGCTGATGGGATGCAATACTATTACATACTCTAAAATGCTTATGTAATTGATGACAAAATGTTTTGCAAAGTTACAGTTGAAATCCCTTTACTCTTCACTTCTCTACAGTCTTCTTCAGAATTAAGCTGACAGTTGAACTATGGCCCCTTGATAATATTTACAGAAAATTACCTTACCTATTTGTGGTCAACTTTGCTTTTCAGAAAGGATAAAGGAAGGCATTTGGGTACAAAATATTCTTTCTCTTTTACTCTCATTCTTTTACTTCTCCCCATCACTCATTTTCTGTCCTCACTGGAATGAAAAAAAGTAACAACTGTTAATCAGAAATAGAGCAATTTCTTTTTTCTTATTATAGGAAAAGGCAGTTAATGCAAGGTAGAAATTATTGCCAGTACAGATGTTTGTAGAGAAAAAAAAGTTGTTAATTTTCAAGTTAGAAAATTATTCTTTATAGAAAGTCTAAACATAATTAACACTGATCAGTAACAATGGGGTTCTTTTTCCATCCCCTTTCCTATACTGAGCAGAAACTTTCTCTGTCAGAAATCAACTTCTGTGACATAGCAAGACTTGATAGGAGTTAGGATGGCAGAATCAGCCCTTATTAGAATGAGGAAGGAAGGAGACTATTAAGAGTGGAGGAGAATCTGGGCATTTCGGAATAGTGTTGGATCTTAAATTGTTGTTGTTTTCTAAATTTGATATGTCACCAACTAAAACTCATCAGTGTAGACCGACATTGCAGGCATGCTTGGGAATGAGACTAACCTCCAAGCTACCATGCAGCGAGGTTCTGCAAGCTGTCTTGTCTGCACCCCACTCTCTCATTACTTCATGTTAGTTACTGTACTAACAGGGCATGTTTATGACTTGCCTTTGGGTAGTTAAAGCCAATCTCTTGATGAATTTAAAATAGAAGCAGAATGCATACATTTCTTCATATCATTGAAAAATCACAACTGAAATTTTAGCTTTTGAATACGGTACCCTCTTTGCAGTGCTATCGGCCTGTGATCTCATTGTCTCACTGTAAGGCTTTGAGGCTCTTGATGTGGCCAGTGCTCTCCATTTTGGAGAGATGTGAAACGAAAATGCTGAACATTCATGGAGAAAAGGTTTCACTATTTTTCAGAACAGATGAGGTGGCAACAGTGCATTCTGACCAATTTCTGACTTGAGTCATGGCATTTCAATTTGTCTGACTCTAGACTGCATTTTCATTTGAATAAATTACTCTTAATTTCCTGTCTTAAGTGTTTGAGTAGTACTATTCTGTACTGTAAATAGTTGCCATGTTTCATTCTACAGTTGTGTGATTGGCACTGATGGATGAAGTGATCTGTATGTAAATACGTATTACCAAAAGCAGAGCTCGTAGCAGTGCCTGCTATCAAAATTGATGGGCACTCTATTAGAAGACTGTTTTCTGCTGCATATAACTTTGTAAAAAGTCAGCTGTGCGGGCTGAAATTTTGTATGCTGCCTTTCATACTAAGAAGAATTTCATCCATTTCGGGAACATGGCTGACATCATGAAAAATTCTGGTGACCGATACATCACTGAAGTGCTTTCAAACAGGGATTTAAATATTTAGCAAGAAGAGAGACATTACTCTGAGCCATCACTGTGAAAATCTGTGCAATTTGGGCAATTTGTAAATGTTGCAGTTTGCACACAAATGGTGGAAACTTGACAGAATTGAGCAGTGAATGTCACCATGGATGACAACCTCACTGAACAGATTTAAGTTCTCCAAGCTTTTAGAGCCTTGCCTGCATGTTCATCAACTCAGTGTGGCCCAGCGCAGATAGAGTCTCTAAGGGCCTTACCTTTTAGCGCATCTGAGCTTTCTGCTGCTGAAGACCAGAGTGTGCAGTTGCAAAAACTGTGAACAGGAAGAATATCTCCTGTTTTCTCTGTTTATTGATAAGCTCCTTCTTTACATGTGGGCACTGTGGAGGAGGAAGAGTCCTAACTTAGACAGGAGAAAAGTGTAAGAATAGATAATGTCCAGTCTCCACAGATGATGTATCTGGGGAGAAGAGAAAAAGTAGCCAGGACTAAAAGGTGGGACTGGGAGAACCACAACTCATATCCTGGACAGGAAGACAATTTTGGTGGAGGGAGACTAAGATTAGTAAAGAGTGCAAGCAGGGACCTGGGAGTCATAAATTAGGAAGATTAGAAGACTTGTCAAGGTGTGGGCAGGAGACCAAGGGCAAGAAATGACACTTACAGTGTTCCAAAAACGCTCAGAGTTCATACAGCTTTTTGGAGAGGCAGTTATTCTGTGCTTCCCTTATTTTCAGGATGGTCAACTTGAGAATGGGGCATTATGTGAATAAGTTCTGGATATTCAAAACTGCAAAACTGAAATATGTGAAAGTTGCATCTGAATCTTTAAAGTACTGTGTTATGCCTTTAGGCTTCTCAAAGTGGGTACTCAAATTATTTAAAATGATTAGTCTAAATGTTTGTGCCTTATATCCAGGATTGTAAACAGAATAAAACTCTCTCAGCTTACAAGGAGGTTTCTGAAGATTAATTTTTTTTATTTGTGAAGGAATTCAAAACTGGTGAATATCAGTGAAAAGTGATGAAGATGATGTTAATGTTTTCACAGCAGACTGAAGAGTTGTGGACAAAAGTGTTAATGCAATCCTTACATGGATATATAGGGCAATATGGATAAAGGAGAAATAAGTTCATACACCTTTCAAGTAGATGCAGCTACTACTGGGAATGTGAAAAGGATTGGAAAATACACATAAAAGAAAGACTCACTATTGGAGCTATTTAATTTGCTAGAGGAGCCTAGAGGTTGATATTATCTGTATGTGGAGCATAATATACTCTGAGTAACTTCATCAGTATGGTACACAAAGTATCCAGTGGCTGGAAGATGAAGCTAAACTGAGATGCCAAATAGGTCTCCATGTTCAACATGAAGTATAATTAGACATTGGAAGAACCTGCTAAAGAAAAGATCTTCTCCCCCACCAAATGTATTTTCTTTTTCAAGCAGGAATTAGTTTAGGGAAGTTCACTGCCCTGTGTTATTCCTGTGGTCAGAAAAGATCATTGCAATGACTACTTTTTGCTTCTATAGCCTTTAAATCTGTTAGTTGTGTATCATCATTAACAACTGGGCAATAAGGATGCAACAGACAGCTAAACAATCAATTAACCAAGCAGCCTTCTATCCAATATAATGATAAAAATGTGACTAGATAGAATCATAGAATCATAGAATAGTTTGGGTTGGAAGGCACCTTTAAAGGTCATCTAGTCCAACCCCCCTGCCGTGGGCAGGGATATCATCAACTAGATCAGGTTGTTCAGAGCCCCGTCCAACCTCACCTTCA